ACAAAATTAACTCATCGAGACATACGAGAGATTCCTCTTACTATGATTCCACGATGTATGAATGTACGAACTGTGGACTTGGATGCGGGAAATGTGGGGGAAACGATGAAAAAACTGTCACCGTGGTGATTTTTAAACGTAAAGATGATTGATTGATATAATTCAAATAATGTCGTCGTCCTATTTTAAATATAATTAACAACGAACAATAATACTTTGCTTCGGTCTCATAATAAATTGACAATTTTCTTTCTTTAAGGTGATTTATTGCAAATTGTGTAATTAGCAACTACAGGTACAATATATACTGTATGATACGTATACTGTATGTATGTACAGTATGACTTTATATACTATAATTTTTAATGTTATAATTATGTATGAGAATTAAACATATGTTACTCTTCTTGTTCAACTCAAACTTTATTAAAGAAAAACTATGGAAAATACATATATTCAATACCGCACAAAATAAGCATCTTAAAAAATCAACTAACTCGATTACTGTACTCTAAAACTCTTCTCGTTGCTTTTCGATCATCGTTCAAGATGTTGATAAATTACTCCTCACACAGTCAAAATACGCAATCACCCATCCATTGGAATACATCAATTGCCCGACAAATTTACTAAGATGTTACGCTTCTCGCACATCGTATTGATAGAATCTACTGTAAATCTGCTCGTTCGTCATTGTCATCTAAAATGGTTGAAAATGGTTCCAGTTGCAACTTTTCGAAACTTGTTGATTTCCCGGAAAACAACCTACCCTTCACCTACTCCTGGTTAATTCGAGATTTTCAAGAACTCTACGCAAAAATGAAACGGGGTGAGTCTGTATATAGCGAAACATTTGGTTCGCCGGCCTCATCTCCTCCATTTCATCAGCACAACACATTCGTATCTAATCACTTCAAATGGAAGTTAAAACTCTATCCTCGTGGTTTTTTGGAAGACACGTACATTTCGTTGTATCTTCTTCCGGAAATAGCAAAACTCGAAACTCAACGCGGCTTAAAATCAAGATCTTCGAGTTATCAATTTGACATCTTCAGCCTTGACGATGTAGAAATCAGGGGGTCGTACGTGTTGAAGAAGCTGGAATGTATGCAAAAATGTATCAGGCATGATTTTAAGCTGGATATTTTGAGGGAAAAGGGTTTGGATAAATTCTGCAAGCTTGACCAAATTTTTCCTGACAATGATAAAACTCGTAAAATCGATTTAGTTATTCGCGTGCAATTTGCCGACATTCCGAAAGATGTTATTGATATTATCGATATTCAACCATCCGGCAACCGTGTTTATGATGATCTCCTATTTTCACCGTCACTGGAGAAATATTTGCGCAACGAAGCCTTTAGCGATGTTACTTTCACCTTTAACTGCGGTTTGCCACGCCATCATTAGTAATTCGTCCCATGTGTTCTCGTTAATCATTTTAATCAAATG